AAAAACACAACACCATTGCCGTAAAAGAGCAGGGTTGAAGACCAACTTCGAAAGTTTTTTTTTCCTATGAACAGAAATTTCATGGAAGCTTGTGGATGGTGAATTAAATGTGTGTCATTATTGACTTGGTATGATTTATAGTAATTTTCATGTGTGTTTAGAGCTCTTATTTTCATGTTGCCTTGGTAGATTAGGCAGAGAGAAGGAATGGTTCATTTAAGTGTTCGGAAACAGTAAATGGAACTGTTTCCCTCTACTCCTTGGTCCAGGCATCTGATGCAGTTACCTGCTCTTCTTCCTCTTTTGGGTTCCAGGTGCGTTGGGGTGACTGACTGGGTTCACCAAGATGACGCTCCATGCCACTCGGGCAGCTGCACTTCTCTCTTGGGTGAGTAGCTTTTGTCTCTGCCATACTTATCCAGGAAGCTAGAGAGGGGCAGGAGAAGAGTTGTAGGAGCTAGTGCTATGTGAAGTCTCAGTACTAGCCTAAGTGAACACACTTTGCCTTTCCTCTTCTTTTTTAACTTTTATTTCCAAATGGTTGAAGTGTCTACTTAGTATGTCTCTGCATCTGTCACTTAGCAGAGTAATCTGTGCCTCTATTTTTGTAGCTCAGCAGGGGCTTCTTGAGGTATATACTATATTCTCGTTGGTCATAGGAAGGGGGTCCACAGGACAGCGTGGACATCCATCATCATCTGTACTCTGCATGTCTGACTAAAGGTTGGTTGTGAACCTCCGTGATCAACATTGCTGGGGACTTTGGTCTTCGGTGGCCTTTAATCTTAGGACGAGGTTCTCATTCTTTACAGTGTTTCTTTGTATTTCCAGCACCTTCTTTGATTACTTCACCAAAACCCTTTTTCTGAGTTTCTTACATATTTGAGGCAGTGACAGAGAAAATAATAGTGCATGTTACATGATTAAGGCTACAAACAGAGGAGGCCATCGAATGAATCATGATGAGCATTGGTCTTACGGTCAGCCAGCCTGGTTAGAATCACAGCTGTGGCTCCTGTGTGGCCCAGGGCAAGTAGCTTCTCAGCATCTCGTTTTTAAAGTGGGGAAATAAATAGATGAGGCAGTAATACTGCGTGTGATTATTATGAGCATAATGAGATAATACATGTAAGAAACATCATTTAGCAGGACCTATATCGCACCTATAATCAAAGAACTCTGGGAGGCTGAGGCAGGAGAACCTTAAGTTTGAGCTTAGCCTGGGCAACTTATCTACTTCAAAAGGTCCTATCCCCAAATAAGTTTTAAAATATTTTTCTAAAATAATTACATTTTTGAGCTCGTGCATCTGGGAGACCTCAAAGTTAGGACTTTTCTTTGAACACCTGAGGCCACCTGTGGGGGCTCTGCAGTGTCCTCATGCCGTAGAATGAATATATTAACAGAATGAATATATTGAATTGCACCGTAAATGCTATGGGTACCACTTGGATTACCATGAGAAAAAGTGAAAGAAGGAAAGTCAAGAGGCTCATGAACGTTCAAAGAAGGCAAAAAAAACGATTGGCCTGAAGGCCAAGTTGTACCACAAACAACACCACATGGAGAAAATACAAACGAAGAAGACTTATCAAGATGCATGAAAAGAGAGACACCAAACAAAAGAATGATGAAAAGACTCCGCAAAGAGCAGAACCTGCCTACCTGCTGAACAGAGAGGGACAGTCTCATGGAAAAGTACTTTCCAATATGATTAAACAAAAACGAAAAGAAAAGACGGGAAAATGGGAAGTTCCTCTGCCCAAATTCGTGCCCAAGAAGAAATGGAAGTATTAAAAGTTATTCAAACTAGAAAGAGAAAAAAGACATGGAAGAGGGTGGTTACTAAAGTCTGCTTTGTTGGAGATGGCTTTACAAGAAAACCACCTAAATATGAAAGATTCATTAGGCCAATGGGCTTACGTTTTTAGAAGGCCCATGTAACACATCCTGAACTGAAAGCCACCTTTTGCCTGCCAATGCTTTGTGTGAGAAAAATCCTTCATTGCCACTGTATACAACTTTGGGTGTTATTACCAAAGGAACAGTGAGGTGAACATGAGCGAGTTGGGCCTTGTGACACAAGGAGGCAAGGTTATCTGGGGTAAATATGCCCTGGTAACCAACAATCCTGAAAATGATGGCTGCATCAGTGCAGTCTTACTAGGTTGACAGGTGTTCATACAGTAACTTCTTACACTTATTGAAAACTACGACCGATCTGCAAAACCATAACTTGAATACTGCTGAACAACTCTCATGACTACATCATCAAGAAAACTATTTATTAAATTGTAAAAACATTAAAATGGCCCAGTTTTACAAATTGGTCTTTTATTAGGGATCTGCTGAGGGCTTATGTGTTGGTGAGATTGAACAATTTGAAAAAGTAAACATAAGTCTTTGCATTAAAGAGCGGCTACTCAACAACACAGATCTCTCATTCCTAAAAAGCCACCAGTGGCCAGGGAGATAGCTCAGTAGAATAAGCACTTGCCTGGCCTGCGCAAGGGCCTGAGTTCAATTCCCGGTTCTGCCAAAAAAAAAAAAAAAAAAGAAAAAAGAAATCCACCAGTATTTAAAGTCAGTGCAAACTGAATTTAAGGGTTTGGGGCTCGGAATTCTGCTGAAGCTATTCTACCTCATCATTTATCATTAGGCCTAAAGTAATGTTTAAGTTTATTCTCAGTATAGTCTATTTATAATACTTCAAGAATGGCATTAGAAGTTTATTTAGATAATTCCAACTTAGTTGCACTGATGCCCTGAAAAGAAACTTTATTTGCAGTTAAATAATATATAAGAAGGTTGTATATTCTGTGCGTATCTCAAGTTTTGTGATCTGAGTTAAATGGTCATAGCTTGAAAAAAAAATTACATATATATATTTTTAAAGGTCTGGTGATATTTTTTAAAGGTCTGGTGTGAAGGCCCTGCTTTTAAGCCCCAGTAGCTGAAAACAAAACCATTTAGGGTGGTATCTTAATAATACTTTATTGTTGCTTTGTTTTTGTATATTTTGGTGGCATTTGGAATTAAACTCAGGGCCTTTGCACTGAACTGCATCCTTGGCCCTCTTTATTTTTTTATTTTGAGACAGTCTTGAGTTGCCCAGGCTGGGCTGTCAAACTTACCATCCTCCTGCCTCAGCCCCTCACAGTGCTGGTGTTTATAGGCTTATGCCAGCATACCTGGCTTCAATAATAGTTTTTCATACTTAGCATGTTGCCTGGCCATGCTATTTGGCACAGGATATATTATGTTCACTGAGTACGAATTAATCAGGGGCAATTGAAGAATCAACTTTTTTTTTTGGTAGTGCTGGGGATCAACAACTTTTTTAAAATTAGAAAATATTTTAGCCCTTCCTGTAAGCATTCTGAGGTGACCTGTGAAAATGGCTTGCTACTCTCCTGAGCCAGAATACCCATAAAAAGTTAAATCTTTCCGAACAGCAAGGCAGCTGGGGCAGTACAGCTGAAGACACTTTTTTTTTTTTTTTTTTTTTTGCGGAACCAGGGATTGAACTCAGGCCCTTGTGCTTGCCAGGGAAGCACTTATTCCACTGAGCCATCTCCCTGGCCCCTGAAGACACTCTTATGTGACTTCCAGAACTGCTACAGAAGTGACAGGAAGGGTGGATGAGCATCAGAGCAAGGATGAAGCTCAGTGGCACAAGTGCCTACCTTGCAAGTGCGAGGTCCTGCGTTTGATTCTCAGGGAGAGAGGGAGAGACAGAACAGCAAATAAGATAGAAGACTAGTTTTAGGCCAGGTGTGGTGCCATACAACAGGTCTGTGATCCCAGCACTCTGGAAGGCTGAGGCAGAAGGATCACAAGTTCAAGCCTAGCTTGGGTAACACTTGGTGAGAGCCTGTCTCAAAATTTAAAAAACAAAGGGGGTGGGGGACTTGGGATGTAGGTCAGTGTAAAAGCCCTGTGTTCAATCCCCAGTAGTGGAAAAAGGAAAAGAAAAGAAAAGAAATTTTAATTAACAGTAAATACTTACATACTTTTATCAAAAGTTGTAATGAACTATGTTAGTTTTTTTCAGTTTAAACAAGCTGTGAGGCTAAAGTGAAACTATGAGTATTGTATAAAAATTGGCTTCTGAGCTGGGCTCAATGGCACATGCATGTAATCCCAGCACTGAGAGGCCAGCCTAGGCTCTGTAGTGATTTCAAAGTGAGGCTGAACTATAGATGCTATCTTTTTTTTTTTTTTTTCTTTTTTTGGGGGAACCAGGGATTGAACTCAGGCCCTTGCGCTTGCCAAGTAAGCGCTTATTCCACTGAGCCATCTCCCCAGCCCACAAGATGCTATCTAAAGAAAAAAAAAAAAAAAAAGGTTTCTGTTAGTGAGAATAATGTAGGATATACATCACTAATATTTAATTAAAATTATGGTTTTAAAAAAATTACAAAAAAAATTACATAGGGATAAAAGACTGAAAAAATTTTATCAAAAGCTGAAGTTACAGGTCAGTAGTAAAACACGAGGCCCCATATTCAGTCCTCAGCACTGGAAAAGAAATTATTAAAATGATAATAACACTAAGTAAATAATAGCATAAGTGGGGAGAGATGTTGTTTTCTTTGTCTTAAAGGATAGCTTAAAATTATTTTGTAAACTACATGCACTGGTCCTTTTAAGCAGAGAACATAGGGATTTCCTCTGTTTGACAAGGGAGAAAATAGGCACAGAAAAATAATGATGTTGACAAAAGCTTCTGGGAGGTTAGTAAAGGAGATAGGCCTAAAATTTGGGTCTGTGAGCACCTGGCTATGGCTTTTTGTTTGATCTGTTGGTTGGGTTTTATTTTTGTTTTGGGATGAGATCCTGCTCCTGAGTTCAATCCAAACTCCTTCCTATAGGCTGCCATACTAAGCTATAACCCATTTGACTTTTTGTTAGTTTTGTTATTTTGAGATAGGGTCTTGTGTGCTTCAGGCTAGCCATGAACTCACTGTGTGCCCAGGCTACCCATCCACTTTGCCTCAGCCTCTGAGTGCTAGGGTTACAGGCGTGTGCCTCCAGTCCTAGTGCTCAGTTCATCTTTAAAGAACATGTTTATGAGCAGTAGAATCTGTTTATTTGAATATCCAACTTAAGCAGGGAAGCCATTCTCCCCTCTTTGGGGTGTATATGTATTTAATTAACTTAATTACCAAACCCTTTTTTTTTTTTTTTTGGCGGAACCAGGGATTGAACTCAGGCTCTTGCACTTGCCAGGGAAGCGCTTATTCCACTGAGCCATCTTCCCGGCCCCACCAAACCCTTTCTTAACTGTGATAATACAGCCTAGGCTCCCTCTGAATTTCAGACCCTTGGGAATTTATTCCTAAGTTTTTAAGTATTCCTGTAGAAGGTGACTATACAGGGAGTGATCAAAAATACAGTTAGTGTTAAGCTTTTTAAAAGTTACTACAGTCAAAGAAAAAAATCATCCCGGTGTGTTGGCACACACCTGTGATCTCAGCTCTCAGGGCAGGTGGATGATCTCTGCAAGTTCAGGGTCAGCCTGGGCTACCTGGTGGATTCAAGGCCAGCCTGAACTGCATAGTGAGACCCTGTCTTGAAAAACAAAAACAAAAAAATAGAGAAAGAACAAAACATTAGTCTAACAAAGGATATATTGCTATTAATTCTCCTCAAAAGTATGCCTCCTTGCTTCAAACAACTTATCTCCCCCCCCCCTTTTTTTTTTGTTGGCACTGGGTACTGAATCATAGGCTGTTACACTGAGGTATATTCCTTGCCCTTTTTATTTTGAAACAAGGTCTCACTAAGTCAAATATGTGGTGGCTGGGCTGAGTTCAAACTTGTAGTTCTCCTGCCTCAGCCTCCTGGGGAGCTGGGATTATAGCATGTGCCACCACCCCTGGCTATTCCACTTTCCAAAGCAGTTCGTAAGTGTCTCTACAACATGTGAGTGCTCCCTACCGCTGGAGTACCATCCCATGGAAAGGCAGGCGCCTAAAAATATTACAAGTGTATCCTCATCCAGATCTGACACTGCTCAATGCATGACTCCCTCCCATAGACAAAATGACCATGAACAGCCTTTGAATTGTTCCGAACAGCAAAGCAGCCGTGGCAGTGCAGCTGAAGACACTTTTGTGTGACTTCCAGAACTGCTGCAGAAGTGACAGGAAGGGTGGGTGAGCATCAGAGCAAGGAGTGTTTTGAGGGGACTTCGGGGCTGTGTGTCTTAATGTATTATATATAGTTTTGTTTAAACACACCACACTTTTCAGTCACACCTCCTATGTGTTTGTTGAATAACCTGTATACCATTCATTTGCTTGTGGCCCCTGGGCATTTTCTTGTGTAGAGACTGACTTTGGTGGATGTCTGCTTAAAGTAAAGAAAGGGATTAAATCAGAGTTGAGAAGTTTGTTTTTAGGGTTCTCAGCTCCTCTTGTCTTTTTTCTTAAGGATTTTTTTGGGGGGGCCGCCCTGCTCAGGATGCCTTCAGGGCAGGTGTGGTTTGGCTTGAGAATGATGGGATCGAACCACAGCATCCTGAGCCTGACTGCTTTGTTTCGGCAGGCACTTAAACACCTGAGTTAATGGGCAGGCCCCCTCTTTTTTAAAGAATATTGCTCTGCCAGTTTTTTCCCAACTCCCTTCAAAATTTTTTGACTAGAAAGCATTTTTCAAGTGTATTAATAAGGCCTTTAGATCTGTGTTTGGTGTGTCTAGCCATTAAGTTTTGAATAGATGTCACAAAATTCAAGAGCTACAAAGAGCTATGAAATAAAAATTCAAGACAGTTATAATGTGAACACTCAAGAGATAGAATTATATCCACATTCAAGACATACAGTGAGTTACAATGTAAACTTTTAAGAGCTACAGAGAGGGCCTAGGGAGTTAGCTCAGTAGAATAAGTGCTTGCCTGGCAAGTGCAAAGGCCTGAGTTCAATTCCTGGTTCTGCAAAAAAAAAAAAAAAAAGAGCTACAGAGAACCATGACGTAAATGATCCTTTTTCTCTCCTCAGGCCTTCTCCTATCCTTTCTAGAGAATAGGGGGAGCAGTTTCTTGTGGAGTTCTCCACATCCATTTATATCCAGTTGTATAACCAGCCCCAGGCACTGGGACATCTAAGACAGTAGAGGTTCAGTCAGTTGATACTTAAGAAGGACCACGGAGAGCTGCACTTCACGTGGCTGTGACAGGTACATTCTCTCAATGATGGCAGCAGTGTTTTTTGCTGAGATTGAAAGTCCTGGAATAACTGGGTGTGGTGGCACATGCCTGTAATCTTGGAGGAGGCTGAGGCAGGAAGATCACAAATTCAAGCCTAGCATGGACAATTTAATGACTTTATTTATTTATTTTAATGACTTCAGTTAAAGGAAGGGTCTTACTAAAAGAAAATAAGGGCTCAGTATGAATGTTGTGGGTTCAATCTCCAGTACCAAGAAAAGATAAGGATGAAACCTGGGACTCATTCACGGTAAGCGGAGAGTTGCACGCATCTGGGAAGAAGAGCAGACTGCGTGCTTCTGGCCGTAAGATCTCACCAGGCTCTTCCTTGTGGCTCGCAGGTGAACAGTCTGCACGTGGCTGACCCTGTGGAGGCCGTGCCGCAGCTGCAGGACTGCAGCGTGTTCATCAGGATCATTAACAGCATGTGAGTGTGCAGCCCCTTGCGGCCACCTGTGGAGGTTTCTTGGGAGAGTGTCCTGCGTCTCCTTGGCCTCCTGGGTGTGGTTGGGATGTTGGCAGCCTGAGCAGGCCCAGAAGCCAGCGCACAGTGATTGACTTCATTGAGCAGTTACTGGTTTTCTTGGCAGGGTAGGATTCAGTCTTGTCCTATCCGAAGGCTGCCTCACTTTGGCACCTCACAGTCTCTAGCACCCCCACCTTCCAACTTCTTGCTGCCACAGGAGTCTTCTGCCATCTCTCTTCTCAACTCATGTCTAGTCTTTCTCCTAAGCCCTATCTGTGCACCCTCCAGGCCTGGAGTAAGAAAGGGGAAGCTCATACTTTGAGGAACTCAACGCAGTCAGGCTAGGGGCCTTCCTAAGCCATTATGTGTCTAGGCTTTGTACCTGCCCCTTTAACGTGTTTTGTGAGGTTGATGAGAGTTTGATAAGCCTGCTGCCAGACTCTAGTTCGGCCTCTTGCTTTCTGTGTGTTCAGCACATGTTCCCTTTGCATGTCACTAATCTGTGGAAGTGGGCAATCATTTGCCTCCTTGTCTCACACTTCTCTGGGTCAAAGCAAAGACCAGTCAAACAGGAAACAATTTTGTTATTTTGTGTAGTTCATCAGATTTTAGGAACTGAAAAGGGCACAGCTGACTTTCTTCATCTCTTTGTCCCATGTCCAGTCATAAAATAAGGAATTAAGGGGCTAGTTATAGAGTCCCTCTTTTTTCTTCTTCCTCTACACCCTCTTCTTTCTCCTCTTCCCTTT